TTAAAAACAATTTAAACATTAATCCTCTATTTAATGCTATGTTAATATTGATGAAACGTGTTTGTTTGTGGTTTACATGTAGGACGAGTCATTGCGCATGGACGATGATATTGCCTTCCGGGCTGACTGCGTCAGTATCTGTGGTTAAAGAAAATTATTAAGCCGTACTAATGAGTATTAGAAAAAGTCATCTTTATTAATAGATACTATACTGGAAAAAAAGCAAAAAAGTGGACATTTAGGTATAAATAGTTTTAACAAGATTAATCGCATTATACAGGGTTATTTATTTGTAAAATATTAACAATCTCGGAGGACTATATCGCACTGTTACTACAATAGTGTATTAACTCAAAAAGTGTTTTTTTTTTCAGAATCGATGAAAAACGAATTACTCACTTCCCGTAAAACACCATTAAAATGTATATCTAGGTTAAAGTTTCTTACCGACATCTAAATAAATTCCTACTTGCCAAATATATTTAAAAATAAGAGGGACAAAATAATATCATATTTTTGCGTAAGGACTGGTTTGGTCAGAAGTAACTCATTTTTAAGTAAATACTTTTTATTTGTTTCTTACAATATTCTAACGACGGTTTTATTGACGTGTAGATAGTCAAATTTCATGTTCACCAATGATATCAACTTGAATTTTACCTATTTTGAGTTATAACACTATTGTAATAGCAGTGCGATATTACTAACATCATAAACAACAACTTGGGAGCTTTGAGAACTTTCCAGATTTAATTTCCGAACAAAAAGAATAATATTGATATTGATCACTCTAACCTTCTTCAAAGTAGAGGTTTCATCGCGATGTTAGCCTTCGTTGTGTCCACAAATATACGTAACTAGAAAAATGAAGTCATGACATGCTGCCACAGTACGGTTAGCACGACAGCGCGCGACTTCCGCGAGAGCGATATAAAACGCGAGATACTCTGCCGTCTGCTAAGTGACAAAATATTTTTTTGAGATATCGTGAAAAACCATACCCATTTTCAGAATATTGAAATTGTTTAATGATATTTCAGCTATGCACCGTTAGGGTAAGTTCCGATAAGTGGACCACGTTAACTAATTTCAACTGTTTTTAACCGACTTCAAAAAAGGAGGAGATTCTCAATTCGATTGTGTCTGTTTTTTTTGTACGTACGTTACGCGATAACTCTGGTATTTGTGAACCGATTTTTATGATTCTTTTTATGTTGGAAAGGGGGTACTTCCACAGTGGTCCCATTTCATTTTGAAGAAAATCATCCACCTTTAAGGGTGGCTGTTTACACATGAAGATTCATTTTTGTAAGTAGCGCCTAAATTTTATTTAAGGAGCAAGGCGTTTTTCTGTCGATATACTTTGAGTAGTGAGAACCGATTTTTATTATCATCAATGGTAAAGTCCTGTATAGTGGCGAATTTAACGATATTTTATAAAACTTAGCAAATAGACGTAATTCCACGTACTTTTGAGGTCGGTTTTTTTAGTACTCTGTACTGATTAAGATAGAATTTGTGCTCTATTTTTTGCTATTTAAAACGGTTATTTGACCATTTGTCACTTAGCCGTGTTTTTAGTAGTGGACGGCAGTACTGCTATCCTACCATAAGTATTTGAACCGTCAATGCCCTCTCATTGAGAAGCAATCGTTCTCTCATTTGGCTGCCACCGCTCTAGTAAATATATAATATATAGTGAAAGCTTTCACTTTACAAGTAAATTTTTGAACAAACCATCAAAAACAACACACGTTACACAGACACGTTGTTTTTTATTAGCATTTAATTAAAATGACTGGATTGACCTTTTAGATATCTATATAATATACAAATTAAGTTAAATGTACCTTTTTATTAACCCGGGAAATAACAAATAACCGAAAAATTATTTTGGTGCTTTTTCTCTAATAAATGCTGTTTTTGATATTACAGTGTATTATTGATTTGACAGGGTAGTGCTGTCGCACTCTGTAGCACTTGGTTCTTGCTTGTTACTTGCTTTTAACAATAAAAATTATAATATAATATATTCGCTGCATTTTTCACTTTTAAAAGGTAAGCCTTCAACACACACATCAACTATTTCTATCGTACCAAAACAATACACTGTAATATCAAAAACAGGATATTTCATATTTTTGTAATCTTTGAGGTTAATAGCATAAAAAGATACATATAATTTACTTTGTATATTAGATATTAAATAATTCTATCCAGCCCATCCATTATAATTTTACTTTTCATGATAACCTATCTATGGAATAATTATAAAATCTAAATGGGACCAATACTGAGGTACCCTCTTTCCAACAAAAAAAAAATCATCAAGAAAAAAATATAGTCGTATTTAGAACCTGCTTTTTTTAATTGGTTAAAAACAAATAAATTGATTTTCCGTCCATAGCACCCGAAAGATTCTTGTTGTAATGAAATCAGACAATACTGTACTGGGACTTGCAGTGTTATGGTTTGATATGGTAGGATAGTTGATGCCGAAAAATCAATGATCAAATTGATCAATTGAGCACGTAGGAATCCCAGCGCCATGCACTAGAGTTGACCTCGCGCGCTTATTGTCGCTGCCAACAGTGCCAACTTCCTGCCCTATATTGCTTCTATTGAAGCGTCCTCATCATACTTGCTATGCAATTTGTGACCAATTGATACTACATTTACGGTGGTAAGTGCATTGTTAGTGAAATGTAATTATTAATTATTATTATATTGAAAAAAAAATGTGTTTGTATTTGTAGGTAATGGATTCGGTAATAGAAGTTTTTGAAAAGTCGTTATTAAGTCCGAAGTCGTAGATATTTTTTCTTTTTTTATAATATCAAGTGACGGTCGAACGGTCAAGTCTATTCATAGCAGTTACAGTCTCACTCAAAATCGTGAGTGTCTGCAATTCCACCAGCACTTTCAAATCCGAAACGCAGTAATGCTCACATTTCTGCTTGGCGGCAGAAGAGTAGGTAAGATTGCAGTACTCCTTGGACGAACTCTTTCAAAAGGAGCTCTATTGCTACTAAACCTTATAATAACAACAAAAACAAACATTTCGTCACTTGATAGTTTCGTGGTTTGACCTACCGCCGCTCAAGCAGGGGCATTGGGTTCAATTCCAATTGCAATTAAATCAATTGCGACGCGTCGCAATTTATTTAATTGCAATTGATTTTAATTGCAATTGATTTTAATTGAATTGCTTTTAATTGCAATTAATATTTTTAGTTGTTCTAAGAAACAATTGAAACTAACAATTAAAACCGAAAGTACCAAATAAAAGTGTCATTACGAATTTGGGTTACGGGGTAGGTTAGGGGTAGGTTAGGGGGTCGGTTGGGGGGCGGTCAGGGGTTTGTGACCCACCCCCTAACCCAACCCACCCGCACACCCGCTCACCCATCTACTCACCCACCCACTTACCCGCTTACCCACCTACTCACCCACCCACTCAAACCCACTCACCCACCCCGTAACCGACCACCTTTTTTTTACACCTAACCCAAATAAATTTATCATAATTGTCAGTTTTAATTGTTAATCAAAAACATTGAAAAGATTGAAAATTAATTAATTGTCAATTGTACACATACGCGATTAACGATTGATCAATTGTTAGTTGCGAGAGCCGCAATTAACAATTAATTAATTGTTAATTGCGGTTCTCGCGACTAACAATTGATCAATCGTTAATTGCTGTTTCGCAAATTAATTGTCAATCTTTAATTGCCAGAATAATTAAATTTTGCCCAACACTGCTCATTAGTTCTGTACAACAGTATAACTATTTCCTAACACGTACGTACAACAACAAGTCATAATTAAAAATTGAACCTTAAGTCACCGTTTACATAGTATCTTTATTACGCAATATCGAAATGCGACAGTTTGTTTGTTCAGTTTATGACCGAGCATATAGTGTAATTAAATTACATTTAAAATTTAATGGCGCGATTTTTCTCGTGCGTGTAGAGACGTTTTCTTGATGAAGTATTTTAATCGGATGGTATTTGTTATACGTATAATAGTTATTTGTTATGCAAGGCTGCAAAGTTGTAGTGTGACGCGAGTGCTTGTATTAAAACCTGAGCTTCGCTTGCTGGGATTGTAAGTTTGAACCACGAACGAAGCGAGTCCTGAGCGTAGCGAGAGTTTCAAGACACGAGATACAATAAGCGAGCGAAACACACAACATTTCACCTCACTATAGCGAGAAAAATGGTAGATGAAAGAAAAACAGTTGAACTATAACAAATCATTTTAATAAACAAAATTAGTTATCCTTGTGAGTTTAATGTCAACAATAATATAATAAAATATACCAACGGATTTATATTACATAAATAATGTACGACAAATCGCGTAGTTGTACGTGTCATTGTTTTTTTCATCAGAATAAAAAGTTGGGTGCACCACTGTCTATCGTCAAGTCCGAATTGTAAAAACCTTTTCCACGCTAGTTTGGAAAAAACGCGTTTACACGCAGATTTCTAATGAGAGAAAGCCTTTCCGAGCTAGTGAGGTGAAAACATTTTTTTCGATCAATGATAATTTAAAATTAGATGCTTGTAAAAGCGCTGCAGTGTCACGATAGTGGCTCCGCTGCAGGGCTTCTGTTACCGTCTAATTTAAATGCTGGAAGAAGTATATTTGTAAAAATTTTTCAGTATCGTAAGATTAATCCGCGAAATTTCAAACTTACTTTTTTAACAGCCTGTATTGTATAGTATCGATTTCTGGCGATAGGCGCGACAACAAATTGGGACGACCTTTCTCACCCATTGCTTAATATTCTTTTTACTAAAGGTCACTTGACTTTGAAATGTTTTCGATCTTACAACTACATACACTAACAATGTTGCAAAAGTTCCATTTTTATTCACTGTATATACTACACAAAAATTATGAAACTGCATGAGGTTTTTCGCACCATAATAAATACGCGAAACTATTATACCACAGACCAACTAACTTCCCAACTTTCTTAATTCCAGGTCTCATCCCCAACTGCAATACCATACTCTACACAGACCTTCAAGTAAAAAGGGAAGAGAACATCGGACTAGTCGATTGTTATACCGGAGTCACTGTCGATAATAGAGATCTCCCGGCCACATTCCAATGCATGTCAGTCGACAGCACTGATCCAATAAGCTTTAATATCACAGTTACAAATGCGCCAGAGAGCAGCAAAGTACTATTCAGGGTACAAGCATTGTCCCTCCCTACAGATGAAGATTATTTGATATCCTGTGCATTCGATCCCAAAGAAAACGATATTCAAATAGTAACTTTCAGCCCTAACCCTTCTGCCTGGCATTATGTTTACCTAGAACATGTTAGTAATGCATCAAGTTATGCCGACTGTGATTCATACTTAAGAACTGACGATGAATTCCTAGAACAGACAGCTAATACCCTTATGAGAGATGATAAAGGCAGATTTTTCACTTTCGACTACGGATTACCTACAACTGACGTTCAAGACGTCACTAGTATAATAAATATCACGTCCGACCAAGTGAAAACAGTAAGGTTTAAAGTCAACCAGTTCATTGATATAGGAGGCAGTGTCTCTATTGCAGCTAGTCTATTGATGAGTCTGAATTATTACATGGGTTATAAGAGAGAATTAAAGAAGGGTTCGTTACTAGCTTTTACTGAAGATAATCAGTTTTTTAGAGTCGTGATTTGTTTGGATATTGGTCACTCCAGTATACCAACAGAATCCGGACATTGTAAGTACAATGATCAAGTGAAACCAGCATTATTTGTGTTGAACAGTACTGATTCAGAGTCTATTGATGATAAGGTGATAATACCGTTCCCTGAAAGCGGTACTTGGTATTTGAGTTTGCGATTGTTCTGTGATGAAGTGGTTTGCCCGTGCAAGACGTCGCATAACGGGACAAAGTACTATGTAGATACAGAGGCGATTGACAAAGATGGGGCGGACATGTCTGGAGAGTTGTCAGCGAATTTAACGAGGCCAGGCGAATCGAAATGCAACGGATCTGTGATATTAGCGTTCTCGTCGACGTCGTGTGTCGGAGGGCGGTGTAGCAACCACGGAAATTGCCTGCTGAATACGTTTGGAGGGTTGGTGATGTCTTTTTGTTCCTGTTCAGCTGGTTACGGAGGTAAGATTTTTTTTGCTTTAAATTGTGTAAGCAAATTTGCGCCCGGCATCCGATTGGTATTAGTTCCGAACTCCAGACTATTTGTATAGTATTTAGAAAGTAATTTAGAAAACTCGGACCCACTTCGGATGTCGATTGTCGTTTTTGGGTGAACATGGTGATCAGTATCATTTTCTAGTTGGTTCTAATATAAAAACTTTATTTTTTTCCGAAGACTTTGCTTTTGTGGACAACGAAAAGTTGAATTTCGAGTACCATTAAGAAAACTTTTGACTGCCTCTGTGGCCGAACGATTACCGGACTGCCACGTAGAGGTCCTAGGTTCGATTCCCGGGCTGGGCGAAATATTTGTATGGTCGATATTTATTTATCTCGTGTGTTTGGGTGTAATTTGTGGTTGTCTTTTGTGTGTCCATGGTACCCGTGGCACAGCGTTTCCCTAGTGCGGGGTTAGCCCCGCACTAGGGAAACGCTCAACATAGGTTGAGTGTGTACGTTATTGTTATTATAAAACGTACAAATTTTCGGGTTTCTCTATATTTAAAGACAAAAAGGGAACATTGTGTATCTAATCATTGGTATATTACAACGAAAATTCTACAAACTAATGACAAAGAACTTAGAAATGTGTAGATTTTCGATATTATGTAAATACCACTATGTAACCATGTAAATAGGCAGCTTTGTAAATACCACTGCGATAGCCACAATAGCAAAGTTTCAGGGGCATAGCTACACTTTTCTACATATTTGCTTTCCTATGAAACAGAAATCAGAAACAGAACCTTCTTGAAAAATTGTTACTTAGTGTTATTTCATTTTCTCAAGTGCCAACGCATTAGGTTGGCGGTGGTACCACAGGAATGCCTAAATTCACAAAGACGTGATAAAGCAAAATGGCGGCAACATTGATTGTTTACTCTTATGAAAAAGTGACAAAGAGATAAATTATATGTTATCTTTGCCGCACTCATTTCGATGAGTCGCTTTTCAAAGTCCAAAATAACGTCATGTACGGACAACAGCGCATCACATTTTTGTTCGAAAATCGCCTCCAGTGCAACGGAACAAGATACGTCAATGTGTAGCATGGTGTGCTGTTGATTGCACAACAAACTTTCGTGAGTTCAGTCCATTACTCCAATCAAATAACTTTTTCAGAATTATATTTGAAATGAATTGCACATTAAGAAATTACAATAACGACACAGAACAGTAATGTAAGGGCCTTATTCCTATGCAGGAACTTCTTCCAGGCAACCTTAGAATAAAAATTAAAGAATTGAAAAGGGGGTGCAACAAAGAATATCTTCTAATGGAAGAGTTTGAAGGAAATACCTACACGTTGAATACATAAATAAACAGTACATAATAATAAAATTTTATTAATATACATTTGTAGGAAAAAGAGAAATAAACAAAAGAATCGGAACACTATGCAATAAGAAAATAAGTGATAGAATTGTATAGAAAAAACGAAACTTATTTTGGCTATTTAACAGAAAATACTAATTATATTCTATTATTTCGTTATTAAGGGCGTATCGACTCAGAGTCACTCAGATCTCGAGACACATTTTATACTCTCTAGAACACGTATAACGTGTTCAAAATAAATAAAATCGTTTACAAATCGTTTCCAAAGTTTTTGGCTCACCGCCAACTTAGGCGAGAAAAAAGAAATTTGAACGTCCACCATAACTGAGAACACGTATTTTTTATATTAAATGAACATAAAAAATCACAAGAAAAAAAATTATATATATGTAGTTAATATTGATAATTCAAATGCGGTAGGTAGCACACCCTGGACATCCCCCCTACTACTGGGGGTAATAGAGACCACTTTGGGAAACTGGATACTGTCTCAAATAACTATAATATTTTCAAGAAATTTTTAAAGTGTTAGCATGAGTTCTGTCACCTTCTGAAATATCTTCAGGACTGTTCAAAAGTCAAAGTCAAATAATCATTTATTCCATAAATAAAATAAATTTGCATTTGAAAACGTCGCTTTTAACTTTTCCGACTTACTCTAGGGATTGCTCTTTTCAAATAAAATTAAATGCTATGGAATACACTTTCAATCAAATTTGTGAGGAGTCTAGAGCCATCTCGTCTTTCCACACCGTAGTCATCAATTAAAATATTTTTAATGTAGTTTTTAAACTTAGGAAATGATAATCTTAATATATGCTCCGGAATGTTATTTTAAAAACGTATACAGTTCCCCATTAAAGAGTCGCGAAAGTTACTAAGGATTTGTCAAGCCACGATACCTCGTTAACCAAATTTTTATATTTACTCTTTCAGCTTGGGACTGTTCGGACGAATCAAGAATGGACAGCAGAGCCGCCATGCTGCTGTCCCTCCTTCTCCTTACGCTGAGTAATATCCTGTTTATCTTCGCTATATACGTAGCTATCATACGCCGGTATTACACCGAAGCCATGATGTATACATTCACTATGATTTTCTCAACATTCTACCATGCCTGTGACGCACCGGCACAAATCGCGTTTTGCATAGCGCGATTAAGAATTCTCCAATTTGGCGACTTTTACTGCGGAATTATGTGTTTCTGGGTGACGTTGCTAGCTATGTGCATTATTAACGATAAGTTTAGGTCGTTTTTACAACTGTCAGGTGCTATTGTTGTAGCAATGCTAACGACATGGAACATGCATTCTTTCGTCGCGTTCCTGACCCCATGTGCCGTAGCTATCTCAATTCTTCTGATGTCTTGGTACTACGATTACAGAAAAACTCGTAAATTCTTATATCCCAGGTCGTATTATATCGTTTATATGCCTATAGGTTTGGGATTTGCAGCTGTAGGTCTAATATTGTTCGGGTTCTTTCAAACTGAAAAAAATTATTACATAGTCCATTCTTTTTGGCATATGGTTATAGCTGTGAGCGCCGCGTTCTTATTGCCTGATATAAAGAGAGATGGTATCTACCATGCGTTTGCGCCAAACCGTAATATGTGTTCGCTGCGGTTTTGTAATTTTTTCCGTAGACCTCGACCACCTCCGGTTGACAATGAACCGTAACGAGAGTACAGTCTGCTATTGAAGAGGTATCTTAAGGTGGGGTTTTAAGAGAATTGAATTTGGCGTTTTTTGTGCCCAACATCGACCAACCCAAAATCGATCTAGGGATGCACAATACGATTCGATTTTATGAAGATCGATTCAAGTATATACGATCTAGTTATTTATTATATAGATTAATTTGAATGCGATTTTTAAGCAAATTGATTCAACATCAAAGCGAATCGTTTAAATCGTATTGATAATTTAAACAAAACAGTCTCTTTTTGAACCCCCTACTGAATCGTAAGGCTAATATATAGCTATTTTATATAGGTCTGCAAGAAAAGTAGTTTGGCAATATCGAAGTATAAATTAATGTACGATAATTTGGCGATTGTTACTACATCTGTACCATTTGATCGATTTCTCTCACTGGTATCACTCTAAATAAAAATAATAATAGGCTGAGGCTGTCAAAATTATTATTTTTTATCAAAATTTGTTTTAAAACGATTTTTATGCGATCGATTTAAGAGCATGCGATCCTTTACAATCCAAAAAATTGATTCAAAGCAAAACATTGTGCATCCCTATATCGATCATCGATCACACGTGTTGAAACTTCATAAGAATAAAAATTATAGCAAGATAAGAGATAGATAACAGTGGAACAATGTGTTAAGCATGAGTGTGCACATATAACGTCATTTTCTATGAAATTTAATATATAAACAGTAGTTATCTGTTATTTTAAGTAAATAAAACTAAAGTTGTATCGGTTTTTTCCATAATCTTCACGTATCTGCCACTTATTAGCATAAAAATTAAACCAAAATGCAAGTTATTTAACTCTATTAGCGCATTTTAGAACCTGAAACTTATCATTGTGGTTCTTCGAGTCGTTTGTTCAGTTAAAATAATTTAAAAACCAAATGCAGCTATGTATACCAAAGGGAACATTGTGTTTATCAAATAATTTATAACAATTTTGTAATGGCGGCACTTCGTGTACACGCTACGCTAATTTTTTTTTGCTGTTTTTAGCAAATATTTGGTCGCTAGAGCAAGAAAAATTACGGATATTTTGCTTAACAAGTGAAATAAAAAATACGGAAAGCGAAGTGAATGTCACACTTCACTTAGCTTACTGTATTTAAAATTACTTAAAATGTGTACATACTATTGAACACAGACATGTATACACACACCCGCACATAAAGAGGACAAAAAGAAAGCCAAAATAGAGTAGCAGTTAAACGAATTTCTATCTTTTAACATAGATCATCTTAGTACACAACCTTTATTGAAAAAAAAAATTAAATTAAACAAGTCTTTTTTTTTAATTTTGTGACGAAGCTAAAACTGCTGAAAATTTAATAACTAAAACTGTTTAAATCAAATTTCATTAAATAAATAAACTTTTTTCAACTAAAGTTTATGAAATGACAAGAAAACAAAATCAAACTTCGACAAAACCTGTATTAAAATGAATGAATGAAAAAAAAGACAATTAATTAATTTATTATTTTCAATTTCGACCTAAAATATAAAAAAAAATATAATAAAATCTTCTTTGGGATTTTACTGCGGTCCGCTGAACATGTACATGTTCTGGTGTGTGTATAACGTACGGTTAACAAGTACATGTTGTTAAAACAATACGGAGAGCTATTTAAGGAGCGATTCAATCAGTGTTCGACAAAGAAACTTTAAAATGAAATATATTGTGCTTATTGACTTCAAAGTAGGCATACTTTACCATACTATCGCTCCCTGATGTTAATCAAGGGTCGTTGACCCGTCCTGCCGATGACACCGCAATCCTTTTACACTTATCATTATCAAAGATGCCTTAGCATGAACCTACAAACGAATAGAAAAAAAATGTAGGTACATTCTGCCGTCCACGAACTAGAACGCTGCAAAGAGACAAAATATTTTTTTGATATAGCATAAAAAACCATAACCCAGAATATTGAAGTTGTTTAATGATATTTCAGCTACGCATCGTTAGAGTAAGTTCCGATAAGGCGAACACGTTAACCAATTTTAACCGTTTATATAAGAGAATTTTGTGCTGTATTTTTTGGTATTTAAAACTATTATTTGACCATTTATCACTTAGCCGCGGTTTAGTTAGTGGACGGCAGCATTGTATAAGGCATGATTTAAAAAAATAACTTGTTTACATTAATTGCCGAAATTTACGTTTTTAATCACGTTATTTACCAGTTTTATTTACTTTTTCGCACAAAACCAAACACCGTCGACCACGTCTTCGTTGCTACTGACGAAATAGTGCAAACTGCAAAACAATCCTCTCAACACGCACTTGTAAACTCATCGCGTTTGTTCAGAGCAAATACAGTCGTGATTGGTTGATAGTGGCATGGGTCTAAAGAAGGTGCATTTGTCGCTATGCATTTTGCGAAATTGTCGATAGTTTGAATATTATATATCGACAATTGATAATATTATATTCAATAGTGTCGAGTAGACATGTCCGCCGAGCGTAACGTCGTCATGGGTGGCGTCTGATGGTTTTGGATGATAAAAATAACAATAAACATTTTTTAAATCAAGCTTTAAACCTTTTTTACATTTTAACTTGTACTAGTATAAGGTATACTATGATAAATTAGGTAGATAAAATTACGCAAAAAATTACTCAAAAATAGTTTAATTTCCTATTTTCTCGATACTAAATCACGCTTTGAAAGACTACTCCATACTTTTTTAGCTAATGTAAAGGTAGCTAGTACACCAATAGTATTTGATGTTCGAAAATATATAGTCTTTTATGGTAGGACATCACTTCTGCCCTCGGAACGAAAAAAGGCACAACTTCTGTATAAAGTACGCATGGTTTTTGCCTTTTTTCGTTACTAGGGCAGACTTGGTGTTAGCTTATTTAGCAATTGACTTTATGTCGTCCATTTCAACACGTTTAGATGGAATTTACAATTGTCAATTGGAACAACAAGAACGTTTACATTCATTCAAAATTTTATCTGTTGCGATTAGTGATGGAATAATTCGGTGCTTATTTACCTACAATGCGGTTGTTCGCTAACACGGAATGCGCTTTGTATCGAAGAAAATCCCATTACACCGGAATTGACGAAATGGTTAAAATTGCAGGGAAATAAAAGTTTAAAATGTTATTTGTAACATTATGTAACACTTAAATTAACTTTTATCACCTTAGAAAGAGAAAATTGTAAAAAATTCGTACATTAAGAAAAAGATTTTTGAGGTTTCGTGTGTTTTTTCACCGAAACCTTCGTTTATGTTTTAATTTGACACTTGTAGCTATTCACAATACTTATATCCAGTTGGCATATTTCTAGTCATCATCAGACCGTTATAGTGAACCAATATCTTATGTATTTAAAATAAAAAGAAATTTAAAAAAAGGATTTAAAAGAAGAAAAAATATATTGTAAGAAGCCGCTTCCTTATTTCGACTACAATTGACGGGAAAAAGAATTCAAATATCCGGCCACTAGCCATGATGTAAATAATTTATTGATAATTGTACGTTAAGTCCTTTGGTGTTGGCAAGGGCGATATGGAAAATATTTGCTGCATTTTTATCTCTGCGATAAGAACGACATAGTGCGTGCATTGAAGTGCCCCATTATATAACGACAAAAAAGGTGGGCCCTCACCCGGGGGCCTCAGTAGAATTTAAGCTATAAATGTTTTATGAAACGCTAGTCAAGTTTTAGCCCAAAGAGTACAGAACAATTATAAGTGATATAAATCAATATTATTTAAAAAGAAATATATTTATAAATACTGCTTTCGATTCTGTTACTTAATAAATATATTCAATCGACGCATCGATGCCTGTGTACAATAACGTAGTATTGCAGAGTACGACGATTTTCAACTTAGCATACAACGACGAGCATAGCAAGCGAAACTTTATCGTTAATAAAGCATCCATCTTCCTTCGTCCAAAAATTCTTACGTTTGAAGAAAATGAGTGCTTTATTCACTAAATTATAAAGTTTCGCTTGCTCTGCACATTTCTGTATGCTAAGTTGAAAAGCGTAATATTCTGCAATATTCGAGTATATAACCAGAAATGGGGACGAAAGAAGGGCCATCCCTCCTCCATTCATCCATCCATCCATTCCTGGCAACTCATCAGGCAAATGGGCCTTCAGCGCAAACGAGACTTGATTAGTTAAAAGTGATCTTTTAACTAATCAACTCTCGTTTGCGCTGAAATCACAAATTAGAAACCTGAAATAGTACAGCGCCAACAACTGACCTGTGTGTACGTATCCGTATATTCCAAAAATATTCTGTATTTATTGTAATAAGGATAATATCTCTAACAATGGGGGGCTGTTTCATGCGGTGGTGTGGGAAAAACAGCAATACATCTAGTTGCAAAACAAAAGGAGTCACATTTCATCGGTAATAAATATATTAAATATGTAATTTTTAAATTTTCGTCCATTATAGCGAAGCACAAGTTAAACTGGTCGATTTGAAGTGAAACAATTGACAACACCTGTCAATTGTTTCTAATTTGGGTTGGCCAATCAGAGCGCAGTTGTCATCGTAATGATTTGGCAGAATAGTTTTCAGAAATAGAGACATTTCATCTCTATTTCTGGTTATATACTCGATGTCTGCAATACAACAATATCGTACAAAGGCAGTGGCATGTCCGCTGCACCTGCTGCTGGATACGTGCAATCAAAATCGTTTCATGAGTACTTTTATAATCACCTGTTGCGTGTGGCGATTGTGTTGCAAATTGCACGTTACGTTATTTTTATTGTGTTCAAATTTGCAGTTTTTAAAAGTGACATATGGTGTAACTTAACCTGTGGCTGCATTTGCAAAGTCAACTCTAAAAATTGCATCACAGATGAGATATGATCCTCACCATACACTAGCTATGTTGTAGTAGACCATATCTGAAGTTGTGAATAGTTATCGGGCAGATGTACTCCATGATCGATTTGGTTTATTGCGTCTATTATAATTGATGAACTTATCATAAAATCAAACTACAGATTACGCATGGCAATAGATAATAAAGTTGTCAAATCATATTATACTAAATGTATTATTTATTATAAAAGAAGAAAAGATTTATGGATTTTGATAAAATGACTGTGTAAATAATATTACTGTTGTGGTAGGCACAGCCCTATGGTGGCTGTCACTATGACAGCCTCCGAAAACGGATGTGTCCGAGGTTAGATTCTTGTATTTCTTGTACGGTACCGAGAGTTTATGTGAATAAAGACTTTGTCGAGTTTTACTAACATAACCTAAAAATAACAGAACATGGTGACAACCATCATAAGGCTGTGCCTACCACAACAATTACAATATATAGCTGGAATATAAAGGGTGTAAAATAAATAAGATATTTAATGAGTAATTCAGTCACGTTGTCACTTTAAAAAGAAATACGGGTAAAGTATTCACCACTCATTCAAAAGTACTTAGTATTTTACACCTTTGTATTACTGGCATGAACTGGTCCAAAACAATCGTAATTTATTTTAATAAGTACAATTTTGTGTATATAAGTG